CCCCTACCCCCCCCCCACCCTTTTGTCTTACAACCAACCACGCTTGTATCTGACGTTTGTAAATTTTGTTGTCAGTATGTTTATATGTTTTGAACCCTGGAAGACTAGTCGTCTTAGACTAAAGGGTATCGAAATAAACGAAATAAACGGAACGCTAGCTTTTACCCAAAGAAAATCTGACAAAACAGCAAGCCCGACAAAACGCCTAAAAACGCATAAAAAGCATATTATTAAACCAATAGTTACCTACATGTATGCTTGGAGAATACTTATGTCCCAGTTGGTAACCATTTTGGAGATTGTTTCACACAAAACATCGCTAGACCCAAAAACTATATCTTAGCAAACTCTACGTTTCACGCGGAATAGGAACGATGCTCTACATTGTGCAAGATGCCTGTGTGTTCGTAATTATTGGTTCACTAACATGGTGTATATGTAACGTACAATTCATGGTGTATATGTAACGTACAACGTGGCTTCAGCTATTCAGCATAATTGAAATGGTAAGTACGGAAGGCATTGTGCCCATGAAAGGACTATGTGTGACTTGGATAAACTTTGGCACCACTTTGAGCTACCGCTGCTACTCAGTTCGTTGAACTGCGCACAGTTGATGGGGGGGGGGGGTATTGGTAATTTCCAAGATGGCGGACAGGAGTGTCGTTGTAGCTGGGATACCTGCGTGTACGGACGAAATTCCCCATAAGCAGTTATCATAGTTTACACAATTTGGACTTCAGGTGAGAAAAACAAAGATAGCAAGTCCCACTTTACAAACAGGTCTAGCTTACGATCTTATATTGTCAAGAGCACAGAGGTACCGTCAGTACATAACGCCAGAGAGTACATTCTGATAATGTCACTTCCACACGTTTTATTAACGTTTAGGGTTAAAAATTACTCGCAATACCGATGTATGGTAGTAACAACAAACTTCGGAAATTGATCTGAAGAAAATTTGCATGTGTCGTTCGCTATCAAGGGCAGTGCTTATTTTTGCTTAGCTTCGCAATGGCTACCTAGGTATTTACTAAGCCACTCAAACACAGCTGCGCCAGTCTCAAGAATGGAATGACAGAAATGTTGATGTTTTACCCATGAACGTCCTGTTCTAAAGTTGTAAAACTGTTTCTGTGACGAAAAGACAAGTAACTGGACAACCTACAGTCATTATCATGTCTTATATTACCTAATGGTAACCTAAGAAGCACTTTTCGTCTTTGAAGAATAAGACTGAGTAAAGTACAAACGTGAACAAATTTGCGGAGAGCTTATGAGATATTGATTTTATTGTGGTGCACCTGGCATCATATCACGTTAGTGTCTATCACACACATATCTGCAAACAATAAATACACTTGAAATACCATTGGTATATACTCTTATCTGCACTGCACACAATGGGCCCTTCTATCACAAAATACGCGATAACAAATTTTAACACAAGGAGACAGAAACACCTACGTATAACATATGTATATGTATGTGCAATAAAATGACTTCTTCAAGTGTACCCAACAACGCATCTTTAGGAATCAGCTAACCGTACATTGTGGTGAATCGAGGAAGACAACCATGGGAAAACAACCTGAAGAAGTAATTTGTATCTCCTTCTTTCTCTCCCTCCAATTGTTAAGTCAAATAAACTTTAAAAATCAAAGAAATCAATTGATGGGGATGCTTACGTAGTTGAGATTACATCATGATCATTTTGTGTGTTCTGTATTTCTTTTCCTTAGGGTAAACCACAAAGAAAATATATTACACGTCTGTACACATCTCTAATAACATAGAGCACCAAAAAGGCGTTTTCGATTCACCATTAAGTGGCATACATCAAATTTTCTATAGATTACAATAATTAACTACAGAAGGTACTGGATTCTAGAGAAGTTATGGCATGTAATTTATCAAATCATCTTGACGTTACGTCAGATTTCGTCTGTAAGGATATCTGCAATGACTTCGTTGATTCTTCGTTGTCTGATGAACCATCAATACTGTCCGTTACGTCTATCTCCTCCTGCGCATGCTCGCTGTAGTCTTCATCCGGGTCACTAAGATCCGCCATGTTGAAATTGTCTTTGGGGTCCGCCATTTTGGAGGAATCGGTGGCCTTCGCGCTCCCGCTCGTGGATTTATCTTGAGCTACTTCATCTTTGGCCTTCTTGCTTCTCTTCCACTTCATCCTGCGATTTTGGAACCATATTTTGACCTGGCAAAGGCAGAAGGGAATATGAATTACATCAAATAATGAAAACTGCTCTGGTGGAATATTGTAGAGCACAGTAGGGCACTGCTAGTTCCAAGTGGCTAAACTTTCCGCAAAAAAATGCACAATACGCAAATAGTATCATGAAAGACTTGCGCAGTACATATACACGTTACATGTTAACCTCTTACTATACTACCCAGATTGCAGGAATATATCAGAAATTTGCCAAATAGGCAGTTGAGTTGAACCCTCAAGCCGAGCAGTTCATCTGGCAAGCTATTCTACCGTTAATATTTCTACCATTTTTACCAGCCGTGTAGAGCTTAGATAATTTCATCAACAGACACAGAGGGAGTTTGAATCATTAATGAATGAACTTTCCTGCTCGACAAACGTACACAGTACAATGTGTGGCAGTAAGACAACAATACTTCAACAAAACCAAACTACCTTACAATCCTTACTACAAACTACTATTGATAACAATATATGAGTTACAATACGGACATGCATTGGCGGTTTGGTCTGGCTTATGGAATGAGGTATACAGAAAATCATGCCCACCTGTGTTTCTGTGAGCATCAGTGCTGTCGCCACCTCGAACCGCTTGGGCCGGGACAGGTACTTGTTTTCCTTGAAGTACTTCTCCAGCTCCAGTAGCTGCTGACTGGTGAAGGCCGTGCGGGGCCGGCGGGTCTTACACAGCGGGCTGGCCTGCGACGGGTGCACTGGGGGAAGAACGAAGCCATATTAGCACATTGAATACTGTAATACATGTTTTTTCATTATTTAGTCCAACATCTTTTACAAGACATGGTGGCGGCACACTCAAGTTTTTCAACTTATTTTCATACCACCACCAACGTAGACGAACATATGAACGAACAACAGACATACTCATTTTCACCTGAGTAAAGTGAGGAAATCCCTGTAAAGTCCCTTTCCCGAGGGCACAAGATCGGTGGCATGGCAGGGTTCGAACCCGGAACCTCTTGGTTCCGAGGCGAACACTCTACCGTTACCCCACACATAAATATCTGTTCAATACAGATCTCTTTCAATCACATTTCTTTATTCCTATTCCAAAGTAAAATGGTCATACGTACATCTATACAAATAGAATAAACATATCTCTATAGATCTCTGAGAAAAATGTTCTTGTAGGGGCAGTAGGATTTTAAAAGATTCCGTTATGGATGTCAGCTAAATGAATAATACGATATTTATCAGTTCTGACTATACCCGGTTTCTAGCATACTCAAAGGTCAGATATCAGATTTTATCAGAAAACAGCAACGTTTTGTGACCGGTTTTAGACAAAGTATAGCGTGGTAGATAGGGTACATAAAATCCGGCCCTTCGCTCATTCTTTCGTCTCTAGTGTTGTTGTCTTAAAGTTTTCTTTTAATGAAGTTGTTTATTGCAAATTCCTGCCCGAGGGCTAATTGCATACATTGACAAGAAAATGTGGTGATACATGTATAAGACTATTTGCTGACAGGAACTTCTACGTGTACGATATACTTATCGAACCTACTATCTCTACTTAAATCTAATAACGTTGGTATACATACAGGATAAAAAAAGTAAATATGCAATATGTGAACAGGTAATAGGAACAATGTAACTGCTATTCTAATCTATTCTATCTTATTCAACTATTCTTGTCATGCTATTAGGGGGTTTGACTTCTTCTCAGGAGGCAGTGGGAGATGAATTGTCCGACTCTTTGAAAAATAAATGGGTTGGTGGACTTTAGCAATAATATAGTCTTTTGTTGTTGGTTGAGATATGAAAAACTTGGGGAAATATTGGCGACATCTTTGAATAACTTTTTTCTTTCAAAATCGTAATGAGGACACTGACAGATAAAATGCATTTCATCTTCCACTGCTCCCTCTGTACAGTATTTACAGAATCTTTCGTTTACAGGCAGTTTCTTATATCTTCCTCTCTCTATCTCTAATGTGTGAGCGCTTAGTCTCATTTTACATAGAGATGATCTTAGCTCAAAATCAGGGTGATGCAGATAGGTTTCCATATTGTAGTCAGATTTTAGTTTTCTATACAATCTTAATTTGCCGCTATTGATAGATAAATTGTGGAGGAAGGTTTGAATATACATGTCTGTTAGTCTTTTTCTCAACGATATACAAACAAATCTATTGTTTACATGTAGATTGCTATTTTGCCAAATGAACGAGTTACCACTATTGTCGAGTATCTCTTTCACGTGGCATAACCAGTTTTTCTTGTTGCCGTTTAACATATCATGTTGTTGAGACAATAGAGCATCCACTTGTAGTGGATGTGTGCAGAAATCTAGTTGTCTTAGCCGTAACCAGTACTTAACAACCCTGACTGAAACATCTATATCTAGGGGAAATCTGCCGAGTTCAGCTTTACATGCTATGTTGCTGGCGTTTCTGTGAATACCGAGAATGTTTTTACAGAAACGGTTATGTATGACTTCAATTGGACTAGTATCGTTTAAGTATTCTTTGCCCCAGATTTCGCAGCCATATAACATAATAGGTTTGATACATGAATCAAATATTCTTAAAAGAGCCTTTAGAGAAATCGGTGAGCGGATGAGGGATTTTATAGCAAAAATGGCTTTGCGTGATTTAAGGGACAACTCTTTTTTAGCCAAAGAAAAGCTTCCAGACGCAGATAACAACACACCCAGGTAACAATATGAGGTAACGGCCTCTACTTTCTCTGGGCCAAACATAAAGTTTACATTTTTAAATGCTCGTCCAGTTCTGTTAAAAACTACGACCTTTGTCTTCTTTAGATTTACCTGTAATTTCCATTGGGAACAAAACAGATTAAGTTTGTTTAGTGCACATTGCAGTCCTTTTTCGGTCTCAGAGAAAATAACTACGTCGTCTGCATAAAGTAAGCTAGATATGAGTAAATTGTGAAGAGAGGGTGGAGTACATTCTGGGTTGTCTAGTTCCTTAACTAAGTCATTTATAAACAGATTAAAAAGTGTCGGGCTGAGATTGCAACCTTGCTTAACACCCTTGTTGGTTATAAAAGATGGCGTGAGTCCTGACGGGGTTTTTATGCAAGTTTGGGGGTTGGCGTACATGGACTTAATAAGGCTATAGAATTTTCCTCCGATTCCTGAGCTAAGTAATTTATACATTAGACCTTCGCGCCACACGGAGTCAAACGCCTTTTGGAAGTCAACAAAACACGCATATAGTCTTTTGTTAGTATTTACATATTTGGATATTAGTGAGTCAATTACAAAGATATTATCGTTTGTTCCAAAGTTTTTTCTAAATCCTGCTTGATTTGGGGAGATGAGAGCATGTTCTTCTAGAAAGTTAGTAAGACGGTTGTTAAGGATTGACGTAAATAACTTTGCTAGACAACTCATTACAGAGATACCCCTATAGTTGTTGGGGTTGTCTTTAGCGCCACCTTTGTGCAGAGTAACAATATGGCTCGTGCACCATTGTTCAGGGAAGTAGCCGGAAGTTAAGAAAAGGTTGAATAATTTAGTTAGAGGTTTTGTCAGGATGTGAGCAGCACTTTTTAACATTTCGTTGAGTATCATATCGCTGCCTGAGGCTTTGCCATTTTTCAGTTGAGAAATTGCTTGTCTGACTTCGGTTTGTTGTATTGTTGTGTCTAAGAGGTTGCAGTTGGACAAATCATTTTCTAGTTCAGTCAATTTTTCCTTAATCTGCATGTGAAAATTGCTGTTCATTTCGGATTCACCTGAGTTTGCCTCTCTGCCGTACAAGTTTTTAAAATGACTGTGGATTGTTTCACTGTCAATAATTTCTTCCGTTGTTATTTTGTCTGATTTCAATTGTTTAAGCTGGTTCCAAAACGCTGAAGGGTTATTAACAGAGAATGAATTTATTTTTTGAAGGATGTTATTTTTGTGATCTCGTTTCGTTTTTCGGATTAGTCTAGTGTATTCTTTTTTCGTTTTGAAATATTGACCCCTGATAAAAGGGTCTCGTGGGTTTTTTGAAAGTAGCTTGCCGAGATTATTTAGATTTCGTCTCGCAGCTGCGCAATTCTCTGTAAACCACTTTTTCTTATTATTCTGTTTACTACCTGACGATCGTCTCTTTTTGGTGATCCGTAACGTTAAGGATTTTCTACCGGCTTCTTGTATGGGAAGCACGAGATCGTTTAACGCGGTATCGAGAGAAGTTGGTGAAGACTCGTAGTCCTTTGTCATAAACTTATGGACGTTTGAAGAAAAATCTGCACTGTTTATGATATCTGTGAATTTTTGTTTTGAGTCGGAACTCCAAACAAATTTGCGGTAAGGACGGGTGGTTATAGTAGTTTTCTCGGGTGACTGTTTTGGGCTACATTGCAGAATTAGTGACAACTTACAGTGATCAGAAAGGGGGGACAATGGATGGACGTGGAAAAACGAGATTTTGCGAAGAAGGATCGACTCGCTTGCTAGGACGTAGTCAACCACGCTGGTGCCGTTAGGCTGGTAACAGGTAGGTCTACCTAGTGCGTCTCCGGGAGTTCTGCCGTTAAGTATTCTTAATTTGCTATTAATGCATAGGTCGATTAAATTTTTGCCGAAAGTGTTGGGTTTACCTGCGTCCATATTGTTACGGGGGAGGGGGTGGTCGAAGTCGTAATTATCGGGGAGAACATGGCTGGCCATAAGTCCATCGTCTACCACGTGATCTTTTAAGTCCCCTACACGGGCGTTTAGATCCCCACCGACTATAACTTCCCCAAAGTTTTGAAACTGTGCTACTTCGTCCTCAAGGACGTCGAAAATGTCGTATGCTCTATTACAATGTACAGTTGACTTATTTGGACTAATATATATTGATGCTACGTAAATATCTCTATCCATGTTAAATAGCGTTTTGTCAATTTTTACCCAGAGAATGTCCTCCGATTTACTCTCTAATTTAGTTACAAAATTTCTATATTGCTTTCTGAATAAGAATATGATCCCCCCAGAGTTACGTTTGGCCTTTTTACTTTTAGATCTAGTACTAGTAAAATTAATATAATTTGGAAAGTGTACCTCACCTGTATGCCACGTTTCTAGGAGCGAGAAGAAGTCGAATCCCTCTATTTGTTTCATAAAGTCACTATCATCTAATTTCTTACCCAGTCCATGAATGTTCCAGAATGCAAGAGATATACCAAAATATTTACAGTTTGAAGTTGCTTTTCCCTTGTATATTGAAGTCCGATGAGGGAAACACATAATAAAACTTTATTTAAAACCAGGAAGTCTCTCTCTGGGTCCGAATGATGTATGCCAGTCTCCGAAGCGTTGCGGGAACGGTGGGGGTGACCAGAAGGGGCGGGGGCCGTACTGCATCCAAGGGGTTCCGTAGGCCTCCATTACGGAGGGCCACTCCATGGTCCACGACATGGGGGTGGGGGGCTGGAATCCTGCGACGGGTCGGGCGGTCTCTCGGGGACGGGAACTTGGCAGGTTCATCGGCGGCTGCTCGTACCCGCGGTCAGGATGCGACGGCTGCTCGTACCCGCGGTTAGGACGCGGTGGGAGGTTGGAAGCAGGTGTGTCAGAGGAGCGGTAGGTGTTTCTCTGACTGGGATTGTAAGCACCTGCTTCTGTCCCGCTGTTCATCTTCCGATCCCTTGGGGTGTTATTGTACCGCCGAGGATAGCCTGGAGTGAAGCCTCGGTACTTGGGGGAGTTCGGTGACTGCCGTGCAGGTTTTGTTTGCTTGCGCCTCTCACGTTG